TTATCCATGGTTCTCGAGTTCTTTCACTCGATTGGTGAGGCCAAACACAAGGCTGACGAGACCGCTCACCAGGAGCTCGAAGCCATTTCAAGAGCTCCCTTGGCCGTGGCTGAAGGCGGGGGTCGATTGGCTCCTGGCTTTTGCTGAACTTTTGGGAGTTGGGTTTGTTAATCTTTGGGTTGAAGAACCTGTGGTGGTTAAGAAACCTCCATTTTGATTATACTCAGCCTCACCCTGTTGTTGTTCTCTTTTGATGATTTGGGGAATTTCAAGAGTTTGGTTCGTGGGAAGAGAATTAAACCAGCCGGTCACACCTTTGTGTCTGTGGTTCTAGTAAACTCATCGGCTAGTTTTTCCGGCTATTAGATCAGGCAGAACTAGTATTGGGCGATCCCCTTGGTGAATAGAACTCATCCTTGGATTCGCCAGATTCTGTCAAAGACCTACCATAAAATGCCACGTTCTCGCCGGAAAAAGCCCCATTATTGTTGGGAAAAGCCACATTCTCACCACAAACCGGCCTGGATAGAGGCGGCAATGGCTTGATTAGGAGTCTTCTTCACAATACCCAAGGAAGAGAGATAAAGTCCACATGTTGGTGCTTTGACAGCAAAAAGAAGAGTGAGGACTGAGTTGAGACTTGAGAGTGTAGAGAGAGAAAGAGAAAAGATGATGGGAGATGAGAGAAAGACATTGTGGGTAACAGAAAGGTAGAGTAGGCAAAGGCATGGAAAGGTCAGGAATTAATTGAGAAAGATAGCAAATTGAGATTTCTTTTAGAAGAAACTGGAAAGGTGAGGAAGGGAGAGAGAGCACCGAAAATAGAAGAGAAAGTAGAGAGAGGACGATGAGGAGAGACGACGATGACCAGAAGTATGGTTTTAGAGAAGCTAAGAGAGAGTCTGTAATGATGAGGAGAGAGATAGAGTTTGGATAGAATGTCATTTCAATATTTGTTTGAGTAAAAAATTTTCGGACAAAAGGTAGAGGGGATTGTAAGATGGAAAAGATAAATTTATTTGTAAGTAATACTTTCAATTTTTGAGTTTAATGAGATTTGGAAGTTAGAAATAAAAAAAAACGATATTTTTCCAAATTTTTAACAAGGAGAATTAAATTGGATCTACATTATGTGTTTCTGAGTTTGTAAATAGCTTTTTTTTTTTCAATAGTCGAAATTTGCAACGGTAGGCATTTGAATTCTGCATCCTGCATTTTGAACTATTACGATTCACATCATGGATGAATTTTATTTGTTTAAACTTGCATGCTTTTGTTGCAGCCATATTGTTAACCCACAGATTCAATGAGTTGTTGGGTTTTCTTATTGTAGTTAGAGTCATTCACCTTTTGAATTAATGGGCCATATGCTATAGAAAACGGCTAATTTTTTGTGCTTACTACTGGATTTTAGTTGAGATATGGAAAATTGTTTGAACCCATCATCTACGTATTTTCGACGGGACATATGTGTATAAGGTTAAAGTACTACTTCTCCTCTGACTTTCTCTTGCTATTTTCCATTTTGATCTCTTAAAATTTGAAATAATAGTTTTGTTTTTATTTCATAAGGTATTACCCTCAAGTTTTTTTGATAATCATTACTTTTATTGTTGAATATTTCTAATTCTTTATTTATTTTATTTTACTATATAATGTTTTTATAAATTTATCAAAGAGATCAACCATTTAATATTTTACCAATATATTTCAATTTAATTTCAAAACACATAGGAAAATAAAAATAAACATGAGATGAAATAATTAAAAAAAGGTAAAACGTTAAATAGTTTAAAACTTACGTGATTTTTCCTAAATTTTACTCTTTTTTTATATCAATGTGTAGCATATTTTTTATTAGCTCTCGTTATATTTCATCGTATGCATGTAATCCAACTAGCTAACATAAAAAATTAGAAAACATTAGAATCTCAAGTTCCTAAGTTATGGCAATTTGGCAAAAACACAAATTTGCAAAAAAAGGGTACGAACATAATATTAACATTTTCTAGGGGGTTTTCTTAATAAATTTCTCAAATTTTTAATATATAAGTTTTATTTATTAATTAAATTATTGTATAGAATGCATTTTCAACCAAGGGAGTTTCTAGCATATGACAATCCCTCCCTCTCATTCCCACTCCCACTTCCAACAACCACGAAAAACACTATATTATAAGTTTATAAACACCTCGTCAAATACATGTTGTCCGCTTCTAGTCACACTCCAGATGAATATGAATATCCCTATGGATGTGTTCCAACTGCATTACATCCAAGACAGCTTTCATGCTTATCTTTTCAAATGGATCACCCCTTCTAAATTTCTCAATAATAATAATACATATATAACAACTATTTTCAAGGCTCACAATAATAATTATATAACAACTATTTTCAAGGCTCACAATAATAATTATATAACAATTATTTTCAAGGCTCACAATAATAATTATATAACAACTATTTTCAAGGCTCAGGCAAGTCAAAAAAACTCCCATGTACTGCTTCCGATTGAATGTATTAAGTTGTCGAGTTGTATACTATGTATCGCAAGTGATATATACTTTATGCTCTCTTCATTTATATGATATCGAAATTTCATCATTGACAATTAATCCTTGTACATACATTAACCATTATAATATAAATTGTATGTGTTTGAGGAAAAAAATACAATGAAACCGTGATTTTTACAACCATTTTTCTCATGGATCCCTAGTGTTCTCTATTTTACATATCATTCAACTAAGACCAGTCAAACCATGTGGAATGTGTCTTTTTTTGTCTCTTATTCTAGATAATTACTTTCATTCTTACATTATTACAACCAGTTTAACCATATTAAGAGTGGGCTCTAGGCACCTGCCTTAACTGCCTAGGCCTATATTAGGCATGAACATTGAGTTCGATTCCTCTACTTTTGAGAAATGACAAGGTTTGTTAGCCCGAGAAAAGTTGTTGATTCACTTGTGAGACAAGGTATGTGCTGGATTTGTTTCTGATGCATTTATGGAAATGACAACGGAGAGTGGTGAGGTTTTCTCATGGATAGTGTGCCTTCATCTTCTTGCAATAACAAATTATTTCATGGTGGTTTTGTCCTTCACACTCTTGATATCATCCTCAGCAGACCAATAGAAGGTTGTCCAAGTTGACATGGTACCGTAAATGGTTATCACTATTTGATTTATAAGATATTACACCTCATAGAGGGATTTAGATGACCAAATGGAGGAAAAGAAAATCAGATACTCCATAAGGAAGCACACAAGCAAGACCATGGGGGATAATAGGTCGCAAGCTCCTCCATAAAGTTGTACGCTTGGTACGGCACTCGTCTCTTGTAGATTACTCGTGATGATTTTGCTATGGCATGCTTGACGTGGTAAAGTTCAGCATTACCTTAGGATTAGGATTTTGTTGCTCTACTTGATTCCAATAGTTTTCTTAGTCACTGGCAGGTTGTAACAATGTAAGAACGGAAGTAATTATTACTTAAAATCCGAAGAGACACATACCATATGGTTAGACAGGTCCCAGTTGGATGAGATAGGTAAATTAGATAACACTAGAGCTTCATGAGAAAAAAAGTTGTAAAAATCACAGTTTTATTGCATTTCTTTCCTCAAACACATGCAATTTGTATTATAGTGGTTGATGTATGTACAAGGATCAAGTGTCAATAATGAAATTCCGTCATCATATGAATGAAGAGAGCATAAAATAGATGACTTGCGATACATAGTATATAACTCAACAACATTGTACATTCAATTAGAAGCAATACATGGTATTTTTTTTTTCCTTGCCTGATCCTTGAAAATGGTTGTTATATAATTATTATTGAGAAATTCCGTCATCATGTGAATGAAAAGAGCATAAAGTAGACATGACTTGCGATACATAGTATACAACTCAACAATATTGTACATTCAATCGGAAGCAATACTTGCTTGATCCTTGAAAATGGTTGTTATATAATTATTATTTTTTTAAAAAAAGAAAATAAGACCGACACTTGGTCATTACATAAGGAAAATTGATCTATTTTGATTTTTATTATTTTGAGTAGTTGGTTTCCTTTTGTTAGACTCTTAAACCTCCTTAGGATAGATAGATCAAATATCTTCATTTTAATGAGTTGAAGTGCTGGGCATTTCTTGTTCACATCCCACCCAAGTTAGAGGTTTGGAGCTTCAAAATTATATAAATCAATGTAAGGCCCTAGGTCAAATGTGCAGAGAATGAAATAAAAATTATACAATTGGAGATGCTGTCTATTATTGGCGTTGTTTCCAATGGAGAGTTTGTCCATTATTGGTGTTGTTTCCAATACGAGGCATTGATTCCTCTATTTCATGTTGTTGAACGCCACGATTCCTTACCTTGTTAAGTGCTCCCTCCCTCCCATGACACTTTTAACATATTTAGCTCTCTTAGCCACCTGACGTGAACTAAACTCTAAATCACCACCCCTGCAACCTTCCTCTGTTACAACTGGCCTATAAATTTCCTACAAGGTTTTTTTCCTCGCCAACCAACTACTCCACTTTAAACCCTACTTTCCCTTTTTTCTTTTCTTATTGTTTTTTTTTTTTTGAGTGATGAAGCTGACTGTAATCCATCCTAAACCTTCATGGTACTGTTGAAAAAGCAGATTTGGCATCTGGACTAGTACTAGTTACCTAGGTAGCCCAAACATAGAGGACAGGGGTTGGGGGCCTCAAGGATGTTGGTGGGGGTATTGGGATGGATACCAACAACCCACCCCACCCCCACAGCCCCCACCCTCCGCCAAAAAATAAATCTGAAAAATCATCTCGTGACAACTTTTTTTAAGGTGTTTTGTGTGTTGTACTACTTCAAAATCATACATAAATCAGTCTGAAACTTAAAATTGAATGAGAGTTGCCCAAAATTCACACAAAACCAAAACTACAACCAATATTAAACAATTTATCAAACCCTAAACTAAAATTTGGTACGAATCAATGAGCTTTGCAAGCCGAAAGACCTTGTTTGCCACTTGTTTAAATCTAACAAATAATCAGATTGTATAATTTTGGGTCATTTTCCTGGTCTGAGAATTTCAGAGTATTTGTTTCATCATATATTGCCTTGAGTAAGTTCATAATCATCCCATCCAAAGCCTTATTCCCTAAACACCCAACCCTACTTCATTCTTCATCAAAAAATCTCTCACCAAAGCTTCCTAATCATCTGCTTCTCTCTGTACTGATAAAATCCATCGGGCCTTAAAAGTAAACAGTTTAAAAAAAAATCCATCGAGCCTTTCTTCCCAAAAAGTCTTCTTTGTGCGCCAATTCCATCCAAACTCTATTTCCCTAGCTTCTTCCCTCTACACTTAGGCATCCTTTTACTTCTTCCTCCCTTCTAAATTTCAATTCGCTTGCCACCAACCCGAACTTAATTGCCACATCAAACCCAGACTACTCAAGCCCACCAGATAATGTTTAGACTTGTGTAGGAGCCACTAAATTTACACCGAACCATGAAAACTCAACTTCCAATAAAAGTCTAACATGACTTTCAATGGAACTCGTATGAGTTTATTTGAACTTCAAAATGAGTCCCATTCACCTATCACTTCCTGAATGCTCAGTCAAGTAATAACCTTCAAGTGAAACATAGAAGTCAAAGATACTGTGATATGCAAGTATTTTCAGAGGTGGTGCACCCAAGAAAAGTACCAAACTTATGCCCTTGACGTTATTAGAGAAACTAATATACTTTGTAAACACATACGGATTTCCTTATGCAACAAAAGTCAAATATTCTTTTTTGATGTTTAACATAGCAAAAAATCAAGTATTTTCTAAGAATTCTTTTTTGATGTTTAACATAGCAAAAAGTCAAGTATTTTCTAAGAAAAGAGAAAAACAAGTTGACAACCGAGGTCAAAATCGATGTTTGATAGGCAAACTAATCTACATCATCACACCTCCTGACATTGACTTTTGGATACAGTTTTATAAATGATCCTAGAAAAAACACATCTCGATGATATGCATCATATGCTCAGTTATAACAATGTCGATCAGGACAGATGCCCACAAGAAAGAAATCCACCATGGGAGAGAACATAGTTGTAAGGTCAATTCAAAGAATTAGGCAATGGATTTGACAGCAAGAACTTATCTGGCTAAAATGCCATCCAAGACAAAGGAATTGAACGCAAGGAACCAATGACATTACATGGTGAGAATCACCTGACTATTGATATTGCAACCAATTCTACATTTCATGAGAGATCACAGCACATCCTGGTGAACTGGTTCACGAAGAAATTGCCTTGGGGCTCATTTCAACACCCATTGTAACAAGTAAATGGTCAAATTGCTGATCTCTTGAGCAGAGGTTTAGCGAAAGAGGAATCAGTTTTAAATTTTAATCCATGCTCCTATGACGCCTGACTTTATTTTATGAAAGTTGACAATCCTAAGTAATCAGAAATACTTTTATTGTCCAAGTTGATTAAAACATACCACCAATCGCAATCCGTACCTCAGTCACAGAGTGAGACACCATAAATACTTCTCTATCACTGTCCAAACTTGACAATCAATTATGGGAAAATGGTGGATGTGCACCAAGAAGCATAGCTACAAATACACTCCCTAGTGAGCACAGTAGATCGATAAATGGCGGATGCTCGCTAGGCAGCATAGCAACAAATACACTGCCTAGTGAGCACAGTAGTTTCCCTTTGAAAACAAATATCCATCCTTAAATATTATGGAAAATTAACTGGCCAAACTAGCCCCAGTATCCATGCAAACCCAAAACCAAGCAAAACACAGCTTACAGACGATAAGTAAAAGAAAAAACAAATTTATTTCTATAGAACAAAAGCAATTTTCTAGAGAAATACACATTTCACAAGGAATACAAATGGCAAAAAGAATCATGCACGCATGCACATGAGTCCAGATGATACACTCAAATTAGGATTTCCAGATTAAATTGTTGGATGAAAAGCTATTCTTAGTTCAAATACATGGTTTCAACTTTTAATCAACAAAATATGTTGGTTATATCTTTTGGGTATTTTAGAAACACGAAAATTTCTTGGATTATCAGAAATATCATTGCATATGCAAGTGAAATTACAAGATTTCCGTCATTTTACAAGGCCTGTCATGAATGTTGGAATGGAAATCCTGGTGAGCCAAAACTTGCCTTAAAGAGAGTTAAAAAGGAAAAAAGACAAATCTGTAGGCACTTTAGTACAATTCAATTTACGAATCAAATTATTAGGAAATAGGAAGAAATGGGTACCAATCCCTGGAAAGTACACACAATTGCATGATTAACCGAAGATTATACTTTCTTGGTAAGTGACATAGCATAAGATGCAGTTCAGTTCCTCACAAAATAGATATCGACATATGGTGCTCTAGATGTGGTAGCTGTGAGACATAGCTGGTAGTTTGCACATGGGACTTATTCAGCCATGTCAGTAAAACCCACAGAGGAGAAAAATATTAATCCTTTTTTAAATTAAAAAGTTCTTGTAGCCGCTAGAAGGTTGTAATAATGTAAAAATGGAAGTAATTATTATCTAAAATCAGAAGAGACACATGCCATATGGTTAGACTGGTCTCAGTTGGATGAGATAGGTAAAATAGAGAACACTATGGATTCATGAGAAAAATGGTAGTAAAAATCACGGTTTCATTGCATTTTTTTCCTCGAACACATGCAATTTATATTATAGTGGTTGATGTATGTACAAGGATCAAGTATCAATGATGAAATTCCGTAATCATACGAACGAAGAGAGCATAAAGTAGACATGACCTGGGATACAGAGTATATAACTCAGCAACGTAGTACATTCAATTGGAAGTAGTACATGGGATTTTTTTTGACTTGCCTAAGCCTTGAAAATGGTTATTATATAGTTATTATTGAGAAATTTAGAATGCAGTGGTTCATTTGAGAAGATAAGTATGAAAGTTGTCTTGGATGTAGTGCAGTTGGAACACATCCATAGGGACATTCATATTCATCTAGAACATGATACTATGTATTTGACGAGGTGACTATAAACTTTTAATAGAGTGTTCTTCATGGTTGTTGGAAGTGGGAGTGGCAATGGGAGGGAGGGAGGGATTGTCACATGGTAGAAGCTCCATAGGTTGGAAGTGCATTCCATACAATAATTTAATTAATAAATAAAACTTATATATTAAAATTTTGAGAAATTTACAGAAATATCCCTTTAACTTACCATTATCAAGAAAACCCCCTAGAAAACTTACCAGTACTTTTGCCAAATGCCCCACAACTACAATTGTCCCCTCAACTAAACACTAAATTTATCATATATAATGCAAAATCATAAATTCATAAAACACCAAACCCCCAACCTCCCAATCCCCCCACCCCTCCCTTCAATCTTTTTTGTAACCTTTTCCGTTTTCTTGAACAATGTATTCAAGAGCAACACAACGGCCACCACAACTTGGTTCCTTAAAAAAAAAAAAATTCTTAAAAATAAAAAAATATGGTTCTAGTTCATCTCTTTTTCCATACAAAATTGAATCTATGAACAGAAGACTCTAGACATGGACCTTCTATTAGAAGAATGCCATTGTCAACTCAATTTGGGAGACTCCCATCTTTCGCAAGAGAATCAGCTTCTTCATTGGACTCAGGCAATATGTGATGAAACGTGGTTTCCAACCTCCTAGCCCATGCCCATATTTCTTCAAAACCATTATGAAGACACCAAGGACAGGTCCTTGGTCCACTTCCCCAAGCCATAACACTGGCAGACTCCCTCTATAACAACAACATTGTACAACTTCTGGTCAATGTTTCTAAGCCCACTGAATAAAGCCCAAGCCTTGGCTTCATTCAAGTCACACTCATGAAAAGGCCCCGAGAAAGTAATCAACACTTTGCCTAAGTGATTCCTCAAAATGCCTCCTGCGCTTGCAGGTCAAGGACTTCCATGGAGAAGAGGCATGCAATAAGGGGAAACCCGAAAAGAGGGTTAAAATCCAAGATTAGTCCCTTTGTGAGATACCTAGGGATGCCAAGGAGGGACAAATTATTTTTTAAAAAAAATGAAAAATTAAAAATTAATAAGGCCCACAATTGGTCATTAAATAAGGAAATTGAGTCAATTTTGATTTTTATTTTTTTTATTCTTTTGAGTAGTTGGTTTCCTTTTGTTAAACTCTTAAACCTCCTAAGGATAGATAGATCAAATATCTTCATTTTAATGAGTTGAAGTGTTGGGCAATTCCTCCTAGCCCATGCCCATATTCAATGATTCAAAAAGTGGGACTGCCTAGCGCCTAGACGGTCCGGAAGGCTTGGGCGCATCACCCAGGCCTAGACGGCTGACCCTGGGCGGCAGACTAGGCGGTACAGTACCCACCTAGGCGGGCGTCCAAGGGAGAAAATTTTTTTGTTTTTTTTAAGTTGTATTGATTTTTTTTGAAATATAAAGGGTTTGAAGGATGGGTTTTAGGTTCATTTCAAACCTAAACCCACAAGAACCCATTTTAGAGAGAAAGAAACCTCAAGAAAACTAAATTTTGTGACTTTCATTGGATCGAAGTGCTTCTCAAAGTTACAAAAAACGAACCCAAACATCACCCAAGTAGATTTGATTTAGTTTTGGAGATTTATAATCCTATTAGAGGGTGTTTTTTATTATTTTAGCAACAAAAAACATCTCAGAGGTGGTAGTTTAGAGTTCGAGCAATCAAAATAAGTGCAAAAATTTATTTTTTAGATTGCTTGTTTTATTTTGAGATGTCTTCTTCAGGATCTAATCAAAGTGGAGATCCGGGTTGGAAATATGGATATAACCCGAATGCAAATGACAAAATTGTATTAGATGAAATTTTGGTGAAAAAGATACGAAAGGGGGAATAAACCGGTTTAAGAAGCATATTGCCGGTAGTAAAGGGGATTTTGCCCCTTGTAAAAATGCTCCTGAAGTTATCAAAGAAGAGATTAAGCAATATATGAGTTTTGTAAAACAAAAACGGGAACAAAATCCTTGTCATTTGAATAGATCTATTTCTGCTACTTCTTGAAGAAGTGATCCGGGTTGGAAGTATGGTTATAACCCAAAACCAAATGATAAAAATTATATAAAGTGTAATTTTTGTGAAAAAGATACCGATGGGGGTATTAACCAATTCAAGAAACACCTTGCTGGCATTAAAGGGAATGTTGCTTCTTGTAAAAAGGTTCCTGAAGCTATTCAGGATGAGATTAGACAACTTCTGAATTTAAAAGAACCAGAAAATGATGAAAATGAGCCTTGTTCTACAGAAATATCTTCTCTAGGTTCTTCTAGAAGTGATGATCCAGGTTGGAAGTATAGTTATAACCCGAATCCGAATGACAAAAATCGTATTAAATATAATTATTGTGAAAAAGATACTAATGGGGGCATTTACCGGTTTAAAAAACACCTTGCCGGTATTAAGGGGGATGTTGCCCCATGTAAAAATGTTCTTGAGGCTACCAGGGAGGAAATTATATAATATTTGAGTTCAGGGAAGCACAAAAAGATAGAAAAGGGTAGAGTAGCCAAGACTCCTAGGGCCTCATCTACACATACTAGTAAGAGGGAGGTAAAAGAAGAGGAGGAAGAGGCAGATTCAGAAGAAACAGATGAGAACGAGTCTTATATTGAAGAGGGAGGTGACTCTGATGATGATGGCCTCGATTTTGATGCATATGATGAAGCTGACCCTATTCCTTCTGATGATGATGATGATGATGACGACTGAAGACTCTTGGTGTTGAGTGTTGACTATTAACTATTGTGTTGAGTGTCGACTATTGACTGTTGTGTTGAGTGTTGACTATTGTGTCTGTATATTTTCTGAATTTTTGCATATTTTCTTTTTCTTATTTTTAGTTTCTACTTTCTAGTTTCTAGTTCTACAATCTAACTTTTGTGTGTGGAGTCTACAGCGTATCAGACTATCAGTGTATGCTTGTATGGTTTTACTGTTTTAGTATTGTATGAAAAATATGAATTATGGTCTAATGGATTATCAAACTACTGCGATTATGGTCTTAGATTTTTTATTTTTTTTTTTTATTTTTTTATTTTTTTTTTTTCAACTGGGCCACCCAGGTTCTGGGCGCCCACCTAGGCGCTAGGCGGCCTGAACCCCCATGGCCACTTGGGGACCGCCTAACGCTTTTTGAAACACTGCCCATATTTCTTCAAAACCATTATGAAGACGCCAAGGACAGGTCCCTGTCAACTTCCCCAAGCCATAACATTGGCAGACGCCCTCTATAGCACAACATCGTCCAACTTTTAGTCGATGTTTCTAAGCCCACTGAATAAAACCCAAGCCGGGCTTCATTCAAGTCACACTCATGAAAAGGCCCTGGGAAGGTAATCAACACTTTGCTTAAGTGATCCCTCAAAATGCCTCCCACGCTTGCAGGATGAGGACTTCCATGGAGAAGAGGCATGCAATAAGGGGCAACCCGAAAAGAGAGTTGAAATCCAAGATTCATCCCTTCGTGAGATACCTAGGTTTGCCAAAGTGGAACAAATTATTTAAAAAAAAAAAAAGGAAAAATTAATAAGGCCCACAGTTGGTCATTAAATAAGGAAAATTGAGTCTATTTTGATTTTTTTTTTTTTTTTTTTGAGTAGTTGGTTTCCTTTTGTTAGACTCTTAAACCTCCTTAGGATAGATAGATCAAATATCTTCATTTGAATGAGTTAAAGTGTTGGGCAATTCTTGTTGACATCCCACCCAAAGTTAGAGTTTTGGAGCTTCAAAATTATATAAATCAATGTAAAGGCCCCAGGCCATCATCACACCTGACATTGACTTTTGGATACAATTTTATAGATGATCCTAGAAAAAACACATATCCGATGTTATACATCATATGCTAAGTTTCAAGGCAATCTAGATATAACAATGTCGATCAGGGCAGATGCCCACAAGAAAGAAATCCACTATGGGAGGGAACATAGTTGTAAGGTCAATTCAGAGCATTAGGCTATGGATTTGGCAGCATGAACTTATTTGTCCAAGACGAAGGAATTGAGCGCAAGGAACCAGTGACACTAACCTAACTATTGATCTCGCAACCAATTCTACATTTCATGAGAGATTAAAGCACATCTTGGTAAACCGGTTCAGGAAGAAATTGTCCTGGGCTCATTTCAACACCCATTGTAACACGTAAGGATCAAATTGCTGATCTCTTGAGCAGAGCTTTAGCAAAAGAGGAATCCGTTTTAAATTTTAATCCATGCTCCTATGACGTCTGACTTTATTTTATGACAGTTGACAATCCAAAGTAATCAGAAATACATTATGTCCAAGTTGATTAAAAGATACCACCAATCGCAATCCGTACCTCAGTCACAAAGTGAGACACCATAAATACATTCTTTATACACCGTCCAAACTTGACAATCAATTATGGAAAAATGGTGGATACTCACCAAGAAGCATAGCTACAAATACACTCCCTAGTGAGCAAAGTAGATGGAAAAATGGTGAATGCTCAATAAGAAGCACAGCTACAAATACACTGCCTAGTGAGCACAGTAGTTTCCCTTTGAAAACAAATATCCATCCTTAAATATTATGGAAATTTAACTGGCCAAACTAGCTCCGGTATCCAAGCAAGATGTTGTACGAATCTATCATTCTAGGGCATAGATGAGAGAAAGAGAGAGAGAGAGAGAGCTCAAATTATTTGTTTCTCAAAAAGAAAGAGAGAGAGAGAGAGACAGAGAGAGAAAGAGAGAGAGAGAGACAGAGAGAGAGAGAGAGAGAAGAGAGAGAGA